TTCTATTGTTCTTCCTCTCTTGGTTTGATAAACATAAAAGTTAATATTAAAGCTTACTTGTAACGTTTGTATGCCATTCCTTTTTTAGCTGCACGTGCCTCAGCCGGTTCAAGGAAAACAACCTAAAGGTCATGTAAGACAAGGTCAGAGAATAATCCACTATTCATCGAAGAGACTGGAGTAGAACACGTAGAAAGAAAAATACCAAGGCTATCGTCTTCGTCGGAGGGAGAACAATTTTGTCTAGACTTCCAAATTTTCCAAACATTTGAGCCAGTTCCTTTTCAGTAGAAGCAAATGGCAAATTCTTTACTAAGAGAATATGTTTGCTTCGAAGCTTGTCATCGCCTTTCCCTGCAGCAAATTCTTCCAAAGAACTGACATTTACTCCAGCTTTAGCAAGGGCTTCTTTGGTCTCTGCAATCACTTTTGTTTCTCCCAAAGCAAGGCGTACAGCAGGATCTTCAGCTTCACGGTCAAGAAACTCACTCTTGCTTATACCATACACCCTGACAATGTTTTCTAGAATCTACAACACACAAAGGAAAAGAAAAAAATCATGAAGCAAAGCAAAAAGCCAGAATTTAAAAAACATTGATGGATGCATTCTTGAAACAAGGAAAGCATACAGTATCGGGTCGCATGAATAAACTATTCCAAGCTTTTGTATTTCCACCAGCTTCAGACGCCTTTCTTTGTTCCTCCCTCTTTTGCTTGAATGTTTTTGGCAGATTCGAAGCGTCATTTCTGTTGGGTAAAGCCACAGATAAACAACTAATGAAAATTCTAGACTAGTCCACTGTAATATTGCAAGTTTGAAGACTGAAACTTAGAAAGGCCAGGCCACTGACACTTGTTTATCAGACATTTCACGGTGCTTGGCGGGCAAAATATGCAACAACCGCCCTTGGAAAATTGAGTTATCTAATTCCTTCATTGCCCTGCATCACCATCCAAACAATTTACAAGTTAAAGATCAACATAAGGCTACATCTTGACTAGCATTCACTTAGACCGCAAGGGGTGATCAACAGCTAAAAACCAACATAAGGATACTTTTTGGCACGGATAGTACCTTGCTGCAGATTCTGGAATCGGGTAAAGGATGAAGGCAATCCCTTTGGACCTTTTTGTCTCCTTGTCAAGAACAAGATGGACCTCTGATATTTCACCGAATTTGCTAAAATGTTCCATAAGCTCTTCTTCTCTATTCCATGAGAAGTATCGACAACAATCAGATGGATAACAGAGCGATAAAAAGAAAAAAGGAAAACAATACAGAAGATGAACAAGTCAAGAAGATCCAGTACGTTGCAGTGTAAGGCAGGTTACGGACGAAAAGGCGACCAGTGTCAAGAACATCATTACTGTCAGCTTTCAATTCTTGAGCCATCTTGCCATCGGCTTCAACCTCCATGG